TTATAAAAGTATTGTGATATCCGAATCTGAACGATGTCTCAGGGGAAAGGTTTCAGCAAATGCTCATAACAGATTATTTTTGAAAGACAATTTATCTGTACTTATTTTCTATTTGTGCCAGACAAACACGAGATATGAATCTTGTGTTCGTATTTTGAATCAATCTAGATTTATTGTAAAAGAGTTGTATATGTACATTTTGCTGAAACATTAAAATCCAAAGTTGCTGTCTGTCCATTGTAGGCATGGTAAATGAAGAATAAAAAGTGTTTAGTCTCTATTTATTCTTGAAAATAGTATATCTATTTTTCCTTGAAAATAATAGTTTCGTATAATTCTCAGGTGGTAGTTCTGCTTTACAAACTGTAATTATCAAAAGCACTCTTGACTTGCAGTAAAATATGTATTCACAATAACAACAACAATATGACCACGTAAACATTGTATTAATATAGAAAACCGCATTGTATAAAGGTTTAACTACCGCATTTTTCAAAATCTACTGAAAAATACCGCATTTTGGCAAATTTTCCGCAAAAGTACCAGTTTTTCAAAAAATTACCGTAAAAACTACTGCAATTTTCAAAATCTACCGTAAAACTACCGCATTTTTTCAAAATCTACCGCAAAAGTACCGGTTTTTTCAAAAAATTACTGTAAAAACTACCACAATTTTCAGAATCTACCGTAAAACTACCGCATTTTTTCAAAATTTTCCGCAAAACTACCGGTTTTTTCAAAAAACTACCGTAAAAACTACCGCATTTTTTCAAAATTTACCGTTAAACTACCGCATTTTTCAGAATCTTTCGCAAAACGACCGTTTTTTTCAAAAAACTACCGTAAAAACTACCGCATTTTTTAAAATCTACCGTAAAACTACCGCATTTTTTCTAAATCCTCCGCAAAACTACCGCTTTTTTCAAATTTCTACCGCAAAATTATACTTTTTTCAAAAATCTACCCAAAACCTCTGAAACTACAGTATTTTTTTAAAATCTACCGCAAAAACTACCGTATTTTTTAAATCTACCGCAAAAACTACCGTTTTTTACAAAATCTACCGCAAAAACTACCGCAATTTTGTTGAAAAATACCGCAAAAACTACCGTATTTTGAAAAAATCTACCACAAAAATACAGCAATTTTAAAAAAATCTACCACAAAATTTTGGTCTTAGGTTGGCAGGTATGCATATTAAATCCAGTGATTGCATGAAAAATTGGGAGGGCTAAACTTTGGTCATGGCCAAGTGGTCTTGTAATATTGTGGGCAGGTAGATATTGGAAGGATTTCCCCTGACCATATGCAATCCAAATTGACATTTTCAGTTTTTCAGCTCAAGTTGCCACCAGGATAAACCACATCAAAATCAACAGTTAGGCAATGATTGAAGCAGTCTGGTATGGAGAATTCCTTGATGGCACCTTGCATTACTTGGTCACTATCATCTTGCCATGTTCTTGAAGGTTTCAGTGTTGATGCCTGGAATGAGGACAGCTCCCTCTTGTTCCCACTACATCTTGGATTGCATTTGGTAAAAGAAAATCCATTCAATAACTAGCTGCGCATGATATTGCAAGATCACTTGGCCATGACCAAAGTTTAGCCCTCCCGATTTTTCATTCAATCATTCTATGCGATGTCACATCTGCATTTAACTACTACTCTAAATCATCTGATTTGGAGGAATGGAAGGTGTACCCAGAGGTGATGCAAGTGTTCTTAAACCTTATATCTTTATATAATATTTCATTGATTTATCATTTTTTATCTCAGTATGAATATATGAATGTATGAATATGACAAAATGCCATTTTGAGCTTATTTGAGTTGCAAATGTGACATATCTTGAAAATTATTATGGTAAAGTGAGGCTACCTATAACCAGTCAAAAGCTAAATCAAAATCTGATCATTTTTTACATCTCCTTAGAAATGATATGACAAAACAAGATTATATACACTATTTCAAGCTCATTTGAGATGCATATATATAACATACATTGAAAATTATTATGGTAAGTATGGTTACCCTTGGGCTGTCAAAAGCAGAGCTCAAATAGAAAATTTAGATTTTTAGATATTAGATATTTAGAAATGTCAAATTATGTTTTATATATTATTAGGGGAAATATGATAACAAGACTTCTGGTACATGAACCACTTTGAGCTCATTTGTGATGCATATGTAACACACATTGCAAATTATTATGTTAAAAATATGGTTATAGAAAATTCAGATTTTTAAGAAATGTCCAATAGTTTTTCTTCATCTTATTTGGGGTATGATAAAACAAGACTCTATGCACCATTTTGAGCTCATTTGAGATGCATATATTACATATCTTGAAAATTATTATGCTAAAATATGGTTACCCCTGGACCATCTGAAGCTTAAATGAAAATATAGAGTTTTAAGAATTATCAATTATTTTTCTACATCTTATTAGGGTTAATATGATAAAACAAGACTAGATGCACCGTATTGAGCTCATTTGAGATGGATATATTACATATTTTAAAAATTATTAAGGTACAATATGGTTACCCCTGGCCATTCAGAAGCAAAAATGAAAATTGAATTTTTAAAAAAATTCCAATCTTTTTTACTTCTGATGAGCAATATTATGACAAAACAAGACTAGATGCACCATTTTGAGCTCATTTGAGATGGATACATTACATATTTTAAAAATTATTAAGGTACAATATGGTTACCCCTGGCCATTCAGAATCGAATATGAAAATTTGAATTTTTTTTTGAATTCCAATCTTTTTTGTACATCTAATTAGCAATAATATGACAAAATAAGACTAGAAGCACCATTCTGAGCTCATATGAGATGCATACATTGACTATCTTAAAAATTATTGAGGTAAGATAAGGTTACCCCTGAGCCAAATGCACCAAAAAATTGAAATTTCGATAATTTTTTTCTCTGAGAATACAGCAGCTACCAAAGCAATGTTTTCTAACTGCGATAAACACTTATACTTCCATTACTGTGAATTTTTTTAAGACTATTAGTCATCACATTCTTGAAATACAGTAATGGACGTCCCATATTTGGCCCTTTAAATAATAAGTTTTTCCTGGATATTTGGGTTAAAATGTATTTTCCTCACTAAATACCATTTCTAAAATGAGTTTTACATCATTTCAAGGCTCAAAGCAATCACCAAATGAAGTCCATTAAACAAAAATACTTTAAAACCATTTTTATTTATTTTTTATAATTTACCCCCTCCCTACCTGATAGGGGTGGGGGTCAGAGGTAAAAAAAATCCGTGAAGACCACCCCCAATCACTTGCCCTGAAATCATTTTTCACTCAAATCATATGTTTCTACAAATGTGCCAAGTTTGTTGCTTTCCTGAAAAGCCGAACAAAAAAGGGGTTGTATCTGGACATCTGATCCCGCTATACATCAAACTAATCTATGAAATCATAGCTTGTTCAAGTTGATTATTTTGGTCAATCTTGCATATTTTGCTTTAATATTTCAGAATTATTTACTTCATTTAATGTGAATTTTGTTGTGAACATTTAATGATAATCTGCTTATAAAGTAAAAAACTACAGCATTTTACAACACATGCCCCATGTGGCCACCACTCCAGCCAACGAAGCTGTTGATGACTCTCCTACACATATCAACATGGATTGCAAAGCTTCTGATGAAGCTATCCACTTAAAATTGAAGAACATCTGAGAATTTGTCTGACACTAGTTTTACTTCTCTAGATAGATTTTAGTCACGCCCTGGACAATTGAACAACTTCCTTCGCCAGATTTGATTGTGCATGTAGAGGAGAAGTGGCCACATTGGACATATGTTGTAAAGTGCTGTAGTTTTTGACTCCACGGGCAGATTATCATGAAACTTTCACAACAAAATTCATATTGAATGAACTGAATAATTCTGAAGTTTTGAGGCAGAATATGCAGGATTGACAAAATTAATTAACTTTTCTTCGGTCCTGTTTTTGACACCCTGTATCAGTAGAATGATACTAGGCTAATGGTATACTTGAATTTAATCGATTGCAGACCTATGATTTAAGAATGAATTTTCAATGATAACACCTAAGATTGTTCAAACCACCAGAAAGCCAAGCCAGGATATATATCATACATTATTTGTCTAAGCTAGAAAACTAATATTGGTACAAATATGTTCATAAATAAGAAATTATAGGGGTCTTCCAAGGGTATACCTATAACTTATCAATTTTAGACATCATATTTCATGAATTTTTAATATTTGAACATGCTAGAAAGCTTCAATCTTCCTAAAACTTAGCTAAAATAAGTTTTATATTTTAGATTTATTCTAAAATGCCAAATATATGAACACAGAGGGATAAATGTTAAAGCAATAGGGGTCAGTTATAGTCACACATAAAATCAGTCCCAGCTAAAATGTCACTTTTTCTTAAATTCACTAATTTTTTTCAAGGCAATTATCAAAGGAATTACTTTGATTCTTGCAGGATTAGTAGACCAGGTAATAAGCCTTTTACATGGATTTTTTTTAGCATCCATCATTGTTTAATAAAAAAAGTTATGACACGAAAAGTAAAAATTGGTCATAAATTTGCCCCCTGGGGTACATACTTTTTGCTTTTATTCAAATTTCTTAAGTGTAATCCGTATCATTCATACTTTAGATGTTTATTTTATACAATGTCCATGTATTTCACTTACAAAAACCATAAAATCAAAGTTATTTTAGGTTGACAAATTTTTTCCCCCTGATAGGGGTGAATTTTGGGGGTAGGGGGACTAACATGGTATTTTAAGGGTTAAATAATCATATTTCAGCTTGCCAACATGGTTTTTTGGATTCAGCATAAAAAGTTACATAAGAAACACTTGTCAGAACACTTTTAACACTAAACGCCTACCACATTTCCTCTAGATGAAAATGCACCTTGTCTATATGCCCAAAAGAAGATATTCTTGAACATGTAACCCTGCTCCACTGTGTACAATACCTTTATATCTTGTCCAAGTCCTTCGTCTGCCTCCTCTTCATCTCTAATCTCTATCTCAACCTTTTCTTCAGGCTGAATGTCATCATGTTCAGCTTCAACATCAAGTACTTGGGTTGGTTCAGGTTGTGGTCTGTTGAACATTGTACTGGGTTCATCTCCCACAAGGAAGCACCACTTGTAGTTCACCTAATTAAACCATGTGTATTATTAATCTACAGAATCAACATTATCATGGACCAATCCAGTTAATCTTAATAGGATTAATTCATTTGCTTAATTAGAAATTCTAGCCAATATACAGTACCATCGTTTCTTTGCTTCACTTAAAGGAGGAATTGTCCTTAATAAAATGTCCTATACTACATTTCTTTACGTACGATTAGAGTTGCTCAATATTCCTTTGAAATCCAACAGTTTTCTCATTCTAATTCAAACTGGACCATAAGAAATTTATTTTCACATATTGCTTACCTCCATTGGGCTATTGTTTGTGATGTTCACATATCTTGTCACTTCAGTGTCATTTAATATACATCCAAAGTGAACATCCATCTTCTCAAACTCAAGGTTTGGAAAGTACACTTCTCCCCTCAGAGCAATGTAGTCCTAGAATTACATATGTGTCATATATATATTTGTCAGTAAATAATATGTGTGAGGTACATGTACAGTTCGTTACCAATATACATGTAGTTGAGGTACTGGGATACTATTAACTAATTGATAATATATGTTAGGCATATATAATCAAAATTTAAGGTATACTTTAAGGTACGTATCATTATTCAATTTAGTCAAAAAGTATTGTTTGATACTGAAATAAGAAAAACAGAATTTGACCTAGACTAGCATAAATATTGACTTGACCTACTAAAAATGTTGTTCAAATAAGTTTAACAAACAGATATAAATAATTTTTTAGACTTTTAAAACAGGGCCATGGTATTTAGTAATTTACTTACAACATGTGGATGCTCATCATAGGTCACGTTCAGAACCTCATCTATTGTCCTTATATGGGCGTCTGATTTGTACGCAGGGTCAAATTCGATTGTGACAGTCCTTACATCTCCTTCTTTCATTGACACAAGCTACACAAGATAGAATTAAATGTATAATATAAGTTTGTAAAACTTTTGGTGTTTTAATTGAGAAGTAATTATGATCACATCATTCAGAATGAACAATTGAAATAATCAACCATAAAATAACGGATGACTATAAATAAACATTATGAAGTCAAATGACTCTTATATCAACGATGATCCAACGATACTTATTTGTACAATTTCTGTGCCTGACTGGAATCTGCAACAAGATATACCCTCTATTTAGCATCGAATTAAAGAGAAAAACTGAATACAATATAAATAAAAACAAATGAAGGAAATAAGAGTTTTACCATTTCATTTGTGGTTGCCATACCATCCTGATCAACTAAACTGAATGGATATTTTAACTGAAGTCTTAAACTCAAAGGAAGGCTTGAAATGTTTGTCATCTCTAGATCACGTCTTTGAAGTTCTAAAGTATCTTCTGGCAGCTAGAAAATGAAATAAATCAAATTATTATATGGCTGTCATATTCCTCACTCTCTGATTGGTTCTTTGGAAAATATAATCAAATCGGATACAATTGATGTTTCATAATTCATAACTTCATTCAGTCTCATGTGTTTCATTTGATATTCATAAACATAATATTTGCATAACATAACACATAGCTTCGTGCCAATATGGCTATTAGCTAGTTATCTTTTCCATAAAGTATATGAATAAATATATATCAATTTTTCAGAGAATATGATGTTAACCTGGGAAAACATCAACTAAAGTGAATACATTTGTGAACTTCTGCAATCTTAAATTTTCATTTATTATAAGTACCTTATCAACTCTGAAGAAAAGATTCTTGGTAGAGAACTCAACGAGGGGACTGATGAATTCAACACTGATGTCAACCTTTTTTATTAACTCCTTGCCACCCGCTCGACCAATGATAGCATGGCACAGCATTCGCTCCTTGACTGTTTGAGGCCTGAGAAATATAGGTAAGATATTGTCAATCATCAATATTCAATATTTATTAAAGAGACATGTACTGATTTTCATAACAGCTGGATCACTACAAGCCAGAGATTTGATCATTGCTGTTGTTTTTTCATTTACATTTTTCATTTTAAAAACATCAGACATTTTCCTCTTTCATAATTTTTCAACTTAAATGCAATAAATATTGAAAATGTAACTAAAGCTTCAGTCACATTTGCTCTATAGCGGGTGCACAGCGGCCGTATTGTAGCTTCAAAAAATCAAGAGAGAAAATCTACATCATACTGCTTATCACTGTATTTTATGCTGCATATTCCTCTTGATTTTGGGAAGCTACAGCCGCCGTACAGTTGCTGTAGATCAAATGTGACTAAGGCATAATTAATATGTTACACTCACATATCAACCTGTCCCTCAAGTTCCACTGTAACACTCTTTCCTGGGGGTAAATCAAACCTCTGAGGGGTCAATTTAAACACAGGGGTCTTCAGAATCTGTGGGGGTGGGGCATCCTGAAATGAAAACATACAAAACTGTCAATCAAAATTTGTTGGGGCGAGTCATCTATTAAACCATACAAAACTGTCAATCAAATTTGACAAGGCGTAGCACCCTGCAATAAAAAGACAAAAAACTTTCAATCGAAATTCTTTTAACATATTTAATAGTCTTGAACTGCTTTTTATGAGCTTGTAATATTATACTTACCCTGACTCTCATATCCTTCATATTAACAGGTACTGTGTCTTTCTTGTTGCGCACCATAGAAAATCCATCTGTTGTCCAGACCAATTGTTGATGACGACGCCCTTTGTTGGTCAACAAGAATGTCTTTTTGCAAGGGTTTGCGCTGGAATCAGGGCAAAATAAAGTTCAAAGCTACTCATATTTACAAGTTAATAAAGTGACAAATATTTTCTGATCTTTCATGGTAGGATATAAATTAAAACAATTAAAGAAAAAATATTTTTGAGCATAATCAAACCTGTGTTAGTGGATTGCATTTGGTAATTAGCGTTGTTAAAAGCTCTTCAAGTTTCCATAAAATAGAAATATTGGAATTCATAGACTATAGGAACTCACCTTCATATTAAATATTAATAAATACTCACCTAAAATGTGGTCCAAGATTCAAATAAACATCCATAGGTGGATCAGAGACTATAGTTGTCCCATACCCATAGGCTGTCACAGGGATGGTCCGTGCTTGACTGTCTAGAAAGTTCACCTGAAGTTTGTCTTGAAATCGTACACAATCATCCAGGTTGGCTGTAACAGTTAGCTCCATAGTTTCTTCTGGGGGTATCTCCCCATCACGAGGCTCGACATTCCACACAGAGTTTGGTCGCACCTGGAGATCAATATTCAATTTTTATTTATAGTAGCAATATACAAATATTTCATTCCAATGAAGTAAACACCTGTGCATCTTTAACAAGTAACATTCCCTTTTAAAGTCACGTGTAGGACAAGGACCAATCGGAGATTGAGGAATTTGGTAGTGAAATACTAACATTCAATATCAGACCATCTCTTGCAGAGGAGGGCTTGGACCACATGCAAAATTCCCGTGTCTCAATATTCCACTCTTTAATATTGAAGTGCTCAAGTAGGCCATTCATACTTGCAGACAGATCTTATATTTTATGCGCAAATATTATTAAAAAAAAGCAATTCTAGGAATTAATAAGCCAATAATATATATGAGAAAAAATATAAGAGCAAACCTTTTTAATTTTTCATTGTCAGTATAAATACATACCATATGAGATGTGAATTTGGCAGGTATCAGTGATTCGTTGGATAGTAACAAAGTCTTAGAGACTTCAGTTAGGACAGGTATTTGTCCCCAATCTAGGTTCAATGGCATCACATGTACAACTGGGCCCTCTCCAATACAGGACAGGTGAACTGGCTGGAAATAACACAAGGGAAAAAATATTATAAAAATATATTTTAAGCCCCAAGTATTTAGAGCCAAATTCAATGGCATTACATGTACTAATGGGTCCTCCCAACATAGGAGGGGTGAAGTGGCTGAAAATAACACACGGAAAAAAAACATTAGAAAAATATATTTTAAGCCCCAAGTATTTAGAGCCAAAATTCAATAGCATTACATGTACTAATGGGCCCTCCCAACATAGGAGGAATGAACTGGCTGAAAATAACACATTCAACCAAAATGAAATGATTTTCTGGATTTAAAGACATCACTACAGTATTTACAAGATTTCTTGCTCATTCAACTTTCTTTTAAATTTGAAATGAGACAACAATGACAATTCATTAGTCCAAATGTGCAATAAAACCTATAAAAGTTATACATCTTACCAGTGGTGCCTCAGAGCTTCCAAATATTCCAAAGTATGCAGTGACCCCTAGTTCCTCTAGATGTTGGGGCGTGATCACAAGGGGAACCTCCAACACAAGGTGGGGTTCAATTATGCCCTGAAATAAACAAGTAAATATAATAAACATGAACTACTAAAGTATTCAAAGTTCTTATATGCAGGCCAGCTTAAATTGACATTTTTACTGATATTGCATGTTATACGGAGAGCATTTTATTTAGGGTGAGGGGCTAAGAAAAGTTGAATTTGGATATAAGGTTCTGAGAGCAGCTGGTCAAAAAGGCATTACAGATCATTAACCATGTTATTTTCCTATACTCAGTGAAAAAATCAACTGGTCTGTTTCACATGTAATCTGGTAAAGACCAGCTCTTAGCTCTTAGCCCTGATCAGAAACTGTGCATACCTTAGCAAGAGGACTATTGTACAGTATAGGCGTACTACTGTCTATCTGCTGGGGGAGTAGCTCATATTTAGCAGGTAGATCTGATGAATTGTGTAGTTTGACATTTTGCTGGTAGGGGTGCTTTAGGAAACAGCGACCATAGTCCAGCAGAGGTGTGATCACTGTGATTGGGGGTACAATGCACCTAGTGAATAAATGAACACAAATGGATTATTGAAATGGAAGACAAACATAACTTCACAAGTTACATCCTTGATTATTTAATACATGTTAGGTGAACATAACTTCCAGTTTTCAACCCTTCTACATGTACATACTATTTATATTTTCATGTCTTAAACTTTAAGTGTCGATTGGAGCTCATGCAACACAGTTAAGATTTCTTTAAAAATTTCTTGTAAAAAATATACATATGTAAGTCATTTGATTTTCAGTTATAGCTTAAAAGTAAAATACCATAAAGTAATAATCAGACACAAAACTCACCAATTAAAATTAATATGATGTTGCAGATGTCATTGTATCAGAGAGATGTTTAAAAACAAATAGTTTCTCTTAACTGACATTTTAAATTAAAGATATATTGTTACCTTCCAACTATTGGCAATTGCAGGACCTCATCACCCACACCGTCTACATCCACCACAAGAGCTAGGTCATATTTCTTCACTGAATTCGAACACAACTCAACAATAATCCTCATTGAACTTTGTGGCTCAAGGCTCCCATGATCTGGAGTGATCGTGAATTCTTTTGGAGACAACATCGATCCAGTATCGCTGAATGTGCTGCCGTAATCGCTGTTACTAGCGATGCTCTCATTGACGCCATCTCCGGGAACTCTCAGGTGGAATGTCATGGGGACTAGTGACGTATTTTGTAGGGTACAGGTCAGGCCAGAAATGAAACCTAAAATGTAAGGTGATCATATAAATTTATCAGATGAGCTGAACAGATAACATCTGTGCTGACTTTGGCATAAAAGCAGCGTAGTTCTCAGAATTAGTCTTTTATTCAGTAAGCAGTAGATCTCATACGAAGATCTTTAAGTTAGCAGATGTTATATATGGAGTGTGGTACAAATCCACTAAAGATAAGGTCTTTACAAAAGTAATGGCATCTAAAATTCTGTTAAAGAGGCTTAATATTAAACATTGCATTATGTAATTTAAATAAAGCATATAACTGAGACTTACCGTAAGATACCATTTTGAAATCCAGCTTTGGTTTGTCAAATTGGAATGTTGGACCAATGACAGAGCCACTGAAACGTGTAATAATTGAAATCAGTTTAATACATAAATTAAATGTTTTTTAAATGGTCTTTCTTTCAATTACTGTACAGATATTAATTAGACATTGTGATACATCAAATAAATGTGCCATGAAATCAAAACTAACTATAATTAACTTTAATGCATATTTTCTCAATGAAAATCTGTTTCTTATAAGAATTTAAAACAAATTTCAAGCACACAAAATAGTTCACTCAAACCTTGAACTCACCTAAATGTCAATTTCAGTTTTTCTGGAGAGCCATCTATTTGGAAATAGAAGTCTTCAGAGAAATCACCCAGAATAGGACTGTTGAATGTCACTTGGATGGCTTGGTGACCATCAGGCATTACAATACCTAAAATAAAATAAATAACAAGACATTTACATGCAAAATGTCACTACTTACAGACACCAACCGCTGAATGCATTTGTTACAGATGCCAACCACCAACCGCTGAATACCATCCACAAAAAAGTTGGAGACCATAACACTTGTGGTGGTGATATAAGAACTGTAACTCACATGCACTACAAAGATGTAAGGTGGTGTGAAACTATGTTCTGTATTTGCAAAATTTAATGAAAAAAATGCTACTTTTATTTGAAGAAATGAATACAGTAGGTGAGTAAAAAAAAATAATTATGGTAAATTAGAAGCACTGACTGAAATCATAATTGTGCATCGAAATCTTCAGAATATTTATCTTTGAGATGAAGAGAAAGTTTCAAGTGAGATAAAAAAACACAAACATTTACCTTCTGAAGGATTGAATGAAAACCTAGGTCCAAATACAGAGTTGTTTGGTAGAAGGCTAAACATGGCATCGATATCTCCCTTGTTGGCTAGAACAACTTCATAAGCATGGCTAGAGCTTATGAAGATGTTGCCCATGTCTAAAGAGTCGAACGAGAATTGAACTTTTGGCCCAATTCCGTCTCCTTTAATTCTGAGAGGAAGTCGTGTCTCACGTCCTACTATATCACAATATGCTGTCCTTGTGTATGTCTTAGCTTCATCTGGTTTGAAAATAACTGTCACTTCGAGATTTGAGTTTGGCCAAATTTCTCCCTCCACTGGGTCAATTTTGATGACATCATCAGAAAATGTCATCTTATCGTCTTCTACAATCTGAAATATTCAGAAAATTCTTAATAAATTTTGAATAATAATGAACTATATTTTTAGCTTTTAACTCAGAACATTTCCTATTTAGCATACAGATTCCTTCAAAATAATATTGAAATGAAATATGAAATCTAAGAAATTAAATTAATAAAGCTAGTTAAACTGAACATGATTTCTGAAATAAACAGATTACTCCGGTTGAGATTAAATATGGAGTTTATCCACAGACAACATACATTATGTAATACTGACCTTTCGTACCATATTGACATAAAACCCATATTCAATCCCTCCCAGTAAATAGCCTATATATATTACCTTGCGCCTGTTCTGGAATGTTCTACTAAGGATAGACATCTTATCTCTAAGTGAAGGATCACTGATACACTCCTCCAGAAACCTGTCTCTCTCGTTTGATTCATCCTGGCTAATGTTGTTACAGAATCTGAAATCAACATTTATTTCACAAAAATTAATTTGAAACTTCATTTTTACAAAAGACAAGAAATTCAAGGTATGATCATTTCAGAGCTTTCTTGCAATATTAAGACAGATTGAAATACATTAATTAATTTAATTCTTAGGAAAACTTATTTTTCATATACGGAAATCTGATAAATATCCTTTTTAGTAAATAAAACACATATCTCACCTTGATCTCTGTGAATCTTCTTCGAGTTGCGTTGCAAACTGTGACCATTTGAAATAAGCTATGACATCACTCCTGTTGCTAATGGTAACAGTCCTCTGATTGGCCATTGATAGAAATGTGTTCTCTATTTTGAGTGAGTTTTTATCAAGCCTAACATTGACATCTTGAGCACCTCCATAGAGATCAATATAGATGTCCTCACCTGGAAAAAAGTGTTATGAATTATGAATGTATTCATCTGCTCATGCTTATATTTTCTTGCTAAAATTAGGATGAAGTTATTGATTTTCTAGCATTTTTATAGATTGAGAGTTTTAACTACATGTCTGTTTATTTCACCCATCGCTAATTTTTCTCTTATTTCTCTTCTTTTTCATTCCAAACAGTAATGTTCTATCCAATGCATGTAATTGCACAGCTTCCTAAATCATCTAGAAACATCCTAATGAGACCCTACTGTTTCAGGAAAAAGAAATTTGAAACAGATCATGCCTATCTTGTGTCACAAAAATGTGAAATCAAATCTTGCACGATAATGCTAACAAGGCACAGACGTGAACAATATCGTACCTAAAACACAGCAGTGTGACAGTGAAGAATTTCGGACGGAAAATCCGAAATGGCCACCTTAAAATTTACCCAGAATGCCCAAAAACTTATCAGTTCTTAACTTTGATACGTAGAAACATCCGTGAAAATTTCAGATGAATCCATCAAATGGTTTGGCTGGAAACCTGTAGACAAGTCTTGAAAGTGAAGATTTTAGGACGTAAAATCCAAAATGGCCACCTTAAAATTAACCCAGAATGCCCAAAAACTTATCAGTGTTAACTTTGATATGTAGAAACATCCCTGTAAATTTCAAATGAATCCGTCAAATGGTTTGGCTGGAAACCTGTAGACAAGTCTTGAAAGTGAAGATTTTAGGACGGAAAATCCAAAATGGCCACCTTAAATTTTACCCAGAATGCCAAAAAACTAATCAGTTCTTAACTTTGATACGTAGAAACATCCCTGAAAATATCAGATGAATCCGTCAAATGGTTTGGCTGGAAACATGTAGACAAGTCTTGAAAGTGAAGATTTTAGGACGGAAAATCCAAAATGGCCACCTTAAAATTTACCCAGAATGCCCAAAAACTAATCAGTTCTTAACTTTGATATGTAGAAACATTCCTGAAAATTTCAGATGAATCCGTCAAATGGTTTGACTGGAAACCTGTAGACAAGTCTTGAAAGTGAAGATTTTAGGGTGGAAAATCCAAAATGGCCACTTTAAAATTTACCCAGAATGCCCAAAAACTAATCAGTTCTTAACTTTGATACGTAGAAACATTCCTGAAAATTTCAGATGAATCTGTCAAATGGTTTGGCTGGAAACATGTAGACAAGTCTTGAAAGTGAAGATTTTAGGACGGAAAATCCAAAATGGCCACCTTAAAATTTACCCAGAATGCCCAAAAACTAATCAGTTCTTAACTTTGATATGTAGAAACATTCCTGAAAATTTCAGATGAATCCGTCAAATGGTTTGGCTGGAAACCTGTAGACAAGTCTTGAAAGTGAAGATTTTAGGACGGAAAATCCAAAATGGCCACTTTAAAATTTACCCAGAATGCCCAAAAACTAATCAGTTCTTAACTTTGATACGTAGAAAGATTCCTGAAAATTTCAGATGAATCTGTCAAATGGTTTGGCTGGAAACCTGTAGACAAGCTGAAAAGTGAGACGCCGCCCACCGCCCGCCCGTCAAGCTGACGACAATATCGTACCTTTTTAGGTACGATAAAAAGTGACACTTCTGTATATGCAAGAATGTAACACTAGATGCATGAATGTTACTCACCTGTGTCATAATGCAGTACAAGTTTTTCATTGTGGTTTCCTACATAGGTTGGTGTAAATGTCACAGTGACCTGCATACTTTCATTCTCTGGAAGGATTCCATTTTCTGGAGATACTGTGAACTCTCTGAAAAATAGAATATTGTCACTCAGTATAATTTAATCGTGAATTTAACACCAAATATATTTCTTCTCAAAAATGAAGCATCTGACTTGATCGTTATTTTTTTAATCGGTTCCATTAAAATTTAATTTTTGATATCAAAGCAAAAATGACATTATTTTGCCAACCCGTTTTCTTCATAATTTGAATGATCCAATTTAATTGCAAAAAAAGACTTCATAACCAGTTCTTCATTAATTACATTCGTTCTCTCCTTTCCTTTTTAATTTCGAACCATTACCCCCCCCCCCTTACACAAAAACTTACCCCTCAGCAGTCAATGCAAACTTTGCTTCTCTGTTGCCAACATTTCTAACTAGTAGAGTCTTTGTTGAAGCATGCTTTACAGGGCATACAGCAAAGTTGATATCATCAGGGAAATCCAGCAGGGCTCTGGCTCCAATACATTTCACTGGCACTATGAATTTTTCTCTTTCTGTGATCACCACTAACTCATGGATATAATCCTAGAAATGAGGTTGAAAAAATTGACTTCTATCTTAAAAATAGATTTTACTTTAAATACAATTTCCAGATGTAACACGTTTAAGGGAAATGATATTTGAATACAATGGCTGTTGAGCTTTTTTATGTGCTTTTTGGAAAATCATATTAACAATGCCAGTGCAAAGTATTTAATGAACATTTTATATCTCGCCTTTGGCTCGAGCTTTTAAATTTACTTACCTTTTTCTCTTCAGGGACAAATTGTATTTTAAATACACTCGGGAGTCCAGGACCAACTTTGTGTCCTACATTTGGTGGACTGATGATCTTGAAGTATGGAGAATCCGCCTGAGTAACCTTGACTAGACGTGGAACCTGAAATAAGTAATATTACATGTGTTTTAATTATCATAACATCACATGATACGCTAACTGTGCATCTTAACCAGATGACAAAAATATGTACCTAGATTTTCTACTGAAAGATGTTTTGTTTACTGTTTGTCACTTTTAGCCATGCAAAAATGGATTGTTAAAACATATGTTAAGTATTTTCTATATCTTCAAAAATGTCGGCAAGCACTGTCTTCGATTCGTTTTCCTGTGTCCTATTATATATGATTTATATCATATTTTATGTGTTATTCTATTTATAACCTGTGACCATTCTACGCTTACCTTATCACTGTTCCTTAAGAGGAGTGGCACCTCGTATGTCTCAAATGGTGTGTAGTTTTGGAAATAAATCTCAGATGGATATGGTTGAAACATTGGCTCATCTACACTCACTTGAGAAAACTGAAATACAATATAAATTTAATTTAATTACAACATGTTAAATTTAATTTTTACAACATGTTTAATTTAATTACAACATGTTCTCTGTATGTACTTGATTTTTATATTAAAATCGAGCATACTCAGTGATCAAATCATTTTAATCTAATGAATCCCATGCTAAATTATTTTAACCCATTTGTACCCATTCACAAATATGTGGGAGTAAAGTAGTCATTATATCATGTGTATAATAGAATGGTGTGGTTGAAGAGATGAACAATGTCAAACTGTTCAGAAAATAGAGAGTCAGCCCTTGAATTGCAAATGAGATATATGGCCATGCAGTAGATACATAGACTATGTTCAAATTCTGAAAAGAATATAATGTGAATGATTCAAGTGATTATCTGGGCATGCAATATGGGTAATAATATCATCCCCATCATATCCAAACTATAAGTAATTGATAAACAAGGCATTAACATGCAGAATGTCACCACCTGCCACTTGTTACAGATGTCGAACGCTGACTGAATGCCAAACATCAATCACTGACCACCAACTGCCAAACACCATCCGCAAAAAAGTTTGAGACAATATATAACAATATGTCACCACTTTTGGTGGTGACAACAAAATGACTGTGATAAAATTTGAATTTCTAGGTGAAAATGTAAACAAATGTCATGCAATAATTATGTTGAATGAATAAATTGAAAAATCAAGTTTAAATCAACATGCAACCTTGAAGCCCTTTATTCCATTGCAAAATCAGAACAGCAAACAAACATAAGATGAAGATGTAATTCATCTTAGTATAATCTAAGGTCAGATGCTTGACATTAAAATATGCCAAAATAAAAGGAGAACAATAAAAAATAATTATAAATGTAATTTAAAGATTTTAAAATTCATAAACTGTTGTATCCATAAACCCATTGGTTTCAAAAGCAAATTATTCCTTTATTATATGAGAATGGAGAAAATGACAATGAAATAACATGTTTTTGTTTTTCAATTTAAAAGTTTTACAAACATCTGACCAATAAAGTCTTTCCATGTTCCCCAAGCATGTGTATATAACAGGGTAACTTGTGAATAATGGATGCAAAATCTAGATAGTGTTCCATATTGTGATTTTGCTGTGTCTTTTGAGTAGAAAACATAAAATGTTAAAAAAATCTTTCTTTTTTACCAAACCGTAAGTCTAGCACACTGAGCCTTGAAGGAAAATTAAAAATTGGCTCATTATATAGAAAGAAGGGTCAGTGTGTTAGACTAATGGCTTTTAATAAATGCAAATCAATTCCTGATTCATGGTTTGATGAATACTTGGGTAGAAGTACAAAACAACACATTTGGCTCATAAAGATTGTTTTGAATTTTCCTCCAAAAATAATCCTTTGAATTATTGCCCAAAGATTGTTTAAATTATTGATTATATATATGAATCATCCTCCAAAGACACAGCAAAATGTTAAAAGTGCAGCTAGTAATGATTTCAATTAGGAATATGTTTGAAACTGAATTCACTTCCCTATGGTCTTGATAAAGACTGAGAGTGTAACGATTAAAAGAATGTCATCCTTTTAAAATAACATTTTCTGACATTAATCTACAAGACTTAAAGCATTGATTTCACACAATAAAAGTCAAAAATTTTCATGAAATTGGTAAAGAGAAAATATCAAATAGTTTTTTTTGAAAATTACTTCATTATTGTGAGTTATCAAATAGAAATATCATTACTAACTGCATTATTAACATAAATACAAATAATTGATGCATGCATGCATTGTGATGATTTGTTTTTCTACATGGTACCTTATGTCGAACCATAAGCTGATATGGTATATCACGGTCCTTTAGCTTTATAAAGAAAGTACATGGTTAACATTTATTATACATGGTACATATGTGAAAAAATACTCCTGGTTAATTTAAAATTTAAAAGTAGGAAAGCTAGAGAAATTTTGCAAGAAATGATGTAAATAGTTATGAAATACATGTACAAAGTCTACTTGAAAAGGATTTTCAAGCATAGGAGAAAGTTTGAAAATGTACTTTACAATCAATATCAATTGAAAATTGATTTGAAGCCATAGAGGATAATGCCCTGAATCATTTCAGCACATGTACTACATAACAATTATAAGAGAGGGAAAGAGAAAAATAAATACATGTAGTGCAAGATTATGAAGGCATTTTACATAAAGGCAGAGAGAAATAGATTTTGTGTAGATATTTTAGAATTAAAAGTTTAAGACAATATTATAGACTCAATGTCCAGAATGTTCAGATTTGGTTAAAGGATTAGAAATCGTAACAGCATGTTATGTGGCTTAAGGATAGAATAGATCAGTTAAAAAACAAATAATATTTTCACATATTCATTCTACCAATGTGTCTCAACATATTTTCTCACAAGGTTCAACTGATTATTTATTTCCAATCAAACAATATGTGTTATAGAAGATTGATGTCTTACCTTTTGATGTGTTGTGTCTGCCATATCTAGAAACTCTATTTTCTTAGGGAGTCTCATTTCATGTGTATTTGCTAGTTTCTTTTCTGTGTCCATGCTCATTTGGAACATGAAAACAGAGGGCGTCATCTAAAACATTAATAAACCATTTGTAAATAGTCTTGACTCTGGTACATGTACCTGCATTCTTTTCCAGGGAGAATTGTATGTGTCACAATTGTTAAAACACTATCTAGTTCAAGTAAACTTAATAGTTCTTCAAAATACCTTAAAAACAAATGTTTATTTGGATTCAACATAACAGTTCAAAAGATTTTGTTGAAACAATACCTGAACATCTTCCTGGTCACCCTTCATTAGTTTTGGATTTCTTGGAGCGATCACTTTACTCTCATAATTGGCCGCAGCACCCAAGTGAGCCAGTGAGTTGGTCGTACCAACCACTTCTCCAAATGGCCCCAGCGGCATTTTGCAGTTTTTATTTTCTGAAATAGACAGTAATCGGGTCTACCATGCCCAACAGACATAAGGGGCATTCTTGGACACGGGGCATTGTTGGACAGTCTTTAATAATTTTTTGTTTTGTATGATTTCTGTAATGAAACTTCAAATTAGACATTGTGATATGCATTGTCAAGAGTCTAACCATGCCCATGGTCTAACATGACAATGCCCCAGATTTTCACCTGATGCCAAAGGTCTACATGTATATGAAAACCCATCATTTCCATCAAATCTAAGAAGATATAGACTAGAAATTATTATTTCACAAAATAGCCTTCTTCTTATTCCTTTAGCCTCGTCCTAACGATTTGAACGATGAAAATTTATCAGAAAAAATAAACAACATTTGTGGTCCGAAATCGAGCATAGTTATTGTATTTGAATGCTTAGAAATTGAGAGCGCTTTCCTTGAATACCTCAACCATTACAATCGGTTGCATATGTTTGCACCTTACCTTCCTCTTCTTTGTATTTCTATCCTATAACATCTTTAATTTTGAAAAATCCAAAAAGTTTTGTTTCAGGCGGCCATATTGGAAATGTTGTCATAGTAGCTGCTCCGAGCAATGATTGTTATATGAAACATGATTGGTCTAAATCGTATATTTTGGAATTTTGAAGATTATTTGACGAATCAAATTCTAGCTCTCAAATGTCGTATTTTGCAATATGCGCGCATTATTTACAATACCGGTACTATTTACATGTATTTCCCCCTAAAACTCTTTCAAAGGAAAGCAATGAGAACATTAAGGGAGAAATAACCAATCTTTTTGCTCTAAGTATGCAAAAATAGTAGTCGTTCTTTGACAACTCTCAAAATTTTTGTTTTCTTGGTTGAACTATATTTCTCGCGATTTAGTCACTCGACTGTAAAACGGTTCAGGAAGTGGAATGCATGTGAAATATTTCGTAACCTTTTACTTGTATTTCAATTACATAGAACTATGAAGATTTGGTCATCGGAACACGCTTTTAGGTAGATAAGTATACTGTACGCCCGGTATTATTCGCGAGCTTTAATTTCGCGAATTTTGCGAAAACACGGTTTCGCGGCTATTACATTTCGCGAATACTGTATTTTATCGTATTCGGGGATTCCCCAGTATATGATGTCCAATCAAATTGCAGGCTACGATCACGTGAACAATCGTGCGCACGTGCGCTTTCATTGCCGCGCATGCGCATAGTAAAGTCATGGAGTTGCACAGTACTATTGAAGTACTATAACTCGATCCAAACTAGTAGATAAAACGAAATGCATCAGAGCCCCGGGTAAAAACAAATTCCCGGGGATTTAATTTGCAATTTCGCGACGATAATTTTTCGCGATTTTAACACACTCGCGAAAAGCGCGAAAGTTAATCGCACGCGAATAATACCGGGCGTACAGTATTGTTGTTTAATCAATCGATTTGGACACAGTTTAATAATCTTGAAATGCTTTAAATTTCTGGGTGAAATTTGCAATTGATAGACTCTATCTGATTTTTCTAGAATATTTTTCTTGAAAATTTCACCTTCACTGGCTTCAGTTCTTATTTCATTCCATGGGCAGTTAGTCATCCCCCCTCTTGTATTCTCCATATGAAATTTAATATAGAGTATAAGAGAGGGGGCACAGACACGTGAACAAGAGTTCAACTCCCACTCACTATGTATTAGTCTAAATAGTGAAACGAATATGCGCGCTCTGTTGGTCGGCTACTCGGGCCTCGCATGTTTGCGGCCAAACAGCAGAGCCAACAGTTACTAGCTTCCGCTTGTTGTCTCCACATCGTGAGAGGTCAAAGCAGAAGTAAAGTTCTATCTCTCAATATCGGATATTGTGGTAGTGTCTCTCCCAATCTCAAAAATATGGTAGCGTGTCTCTTAACTTCAAAACTTATGGTAGTGTGTCTCTAAACTTATAGTTGTGTGTGCCGGCGTCTTTGATTGTAGCGTAAAAGTTCGTGGGGTGAAAGTATATCACCAAGAAAGGATTTATATTAAAGAGTCTCGTAATAAACTCAAAATAATAACTTTTAGAACTTAGTCCCATGACTTCAAATGTAGTTTACAAAACATTACATTCTTTCTTTAAACAAAATAAACCCATGTTATTGCATTTACAGTCACTCCATCTAAGTTAAACATTTGTATACAAGCTAGGGATGAATAATTCTCATACTTTCATTCTTATTTATAATGATGGACAGACACAGTAGTTCATAAAACTTCAATCAATCTATTACACTTATGGATAATTACAAAACATTCAATATGCGGTAATTTAATATATGGAGTTCTTCTTGGCTTAATAAACAGATAAATATATTCTAAGATGCACATTTAAGGAGAACAAATATCAATGTAATCTCAGTATAAATTAGACAGGTCACTAACTTTACAAATACTTCAATTCAAACAAATTATCATAAATTCATGAAATAATCTCTGATTTTGTAATGTTCACAATTCTACTTTTCAAGCTTCAAGTGATTGATTATTTGATTATTAACTCCAGTACTTAATTACGACATGTGAGTTTAGAATTGGAACGCTTACTTAATAATAGTATCTGAACTCTTCGACAATGTTACATAAATTAAAGCTCCGAAATCTACTGGAGTTAAAGATAATCAAATCAAAAACTGAATACCAATACGATTACAAGTTGGCTAAATCAAATTAAATTACAATCTTCAGCTTTATCTCCTTTCCTTAATACAACCATTAATTGTTAATAAAATCCAATTCATAAAAGTTTTTACAATAAAGTAGTAGTCATTTAAAATAGCAACATCAGTCTTCATTGAAATGCTACAAGATATGAGCTAAAATGTACTCTACAAATAACAGTAGAAACATTCTTGTTTACATCAATCAAACAAATCGTTCACTAGCAAAATCAAAAATTGCATAATCTTAAGTTTCGAATTTCAAATCAAATAAAAATGAACCTATATTGTTTCAGTATAATTGATAATTGTGGGCTGGCTTAACCCGATTGTTAACCCTTGAAAAATCTTGCTGCTGGTCAAATAAAATCATGCAAAAACATGTTTATGTTCACAAAAATGTATAATATTCATTTAAATATAAACAGACTAGTTTCATTTCAAATATCTAATTTTACTCAAACCTGGTAACATAAGACTTTAAAGCGGAATAGGATATAAAAGAGAAAATATTTCAAGATAAAGATTGTTGCAATTTGAGCATCGGGTAAATTTGTAATACATCTCCATCCACCCTCATTAGTAGGACAAATGCTGTGTCCATATGTAAACAAAAACATACTACCCATGGTGAATCATTAATTTGGTTTACAATTATAACATTCTCTAAATATGTTCATCTCCATCTGCCCTCATTAGTAGAACAAATGCTGTGTTCATGTGTAAACAAAAACATACTACCCATGGTGAATCATTAATTTGGTTTACAATTATAACATTGTCTAAATCATTTGTATGAGCAATTCTGTCTAATACCTCTGAGTCAATGTTATTCAGAAGGAGAAAGCATATAATTCAAATAATGGCGGAAACATTGAAAATGGTTTCAGAAATAAAGATAAGTTAATTCCAATACTTTTAAATTATCAATTGACATTAATTTACACTGGAGAATGACGAGATAAGCAATAACACAGATCGGTAATAATAAACTTACAAATCATAAATTGCATACTGCAAATTATAAGCATAAATTAGATTGAGTCTACTTCAACATTCAAAACACTGATTTGGCACTATAGTCATTCTAAATTGCCAAATAAATAAAAAGAAGATAATTCAGAAAAGAAATTCCCCAGTTCCGTATATTCTCAACTACTGTTGACTTTATAGGGAATAATAAATCGAAACGATTATATAACTCACAGTTTTCCACTAAATAATAGCCCAAAGGTAATCAAATCTAATCTCGAGAAAAATACTCTCATTTTTAATTGCGAACGAACAATTTTGCATACGCTTAAAGATATTTCATCTTCTAAATGGTAAAATGCTACATAATTAGGGCAGCCAAACCTCCCCTTTAACATGGCCATGATTCACAATAAGTCTTTATTCAACCACGAGCTGTGAGAAGTATAACAGAATCATAAAGAAGTAATATCCATTAGTCAGTTAAAACAAAACTGAAATCAATCTCAATACTTAAAATGGAAATAGCCCATTAAAATAAATGACATAAGATTCATTTTCTAATGATTTTACCTAACTTAAAGATGTACAAAATTTGTAAAATAATTCAGTACCTAAAAACATCATTTGGTCAAATATATTTTAAAACATCCAAAACATGTACTAACTTCTGCTACTTAATTCATATCTTGGAACCCTAGCCTCCATCTCAACCTCTGTTATTAGTATTCAAAATCTAGCCCATAATTTTTGTCATTAATTTCTCACCAATTCACTTTTAAACAAATTAACTGAAACTTTAACTGTTGTTTGAACAAAGGTTGTGATGAAAACCCATGTTTATCAAATAATTCAGTCAAATCTTAATTACACACTGTTTCAGCAAATACATTTCAACCAGTAAAATCATCAAACAATTATGTTGCCCTAAAAAGCAATTCTTACATAACGCAACAATTCAATTGTCCAAGTTACAACAGTTACCTCCTTAAAATAAAATACAAGTTTTACAACCAAAATACATGCTAATATTCTTCGCCTAATGTTAAAACATAATGAATTACAAATCAACAGAGAAATATTTCTTCATCAAAAGACCAAACTTCTTACCTTGTCTAAAACCAGATTTAAATCAAACTGATTAACCAATTAATTCTCACAATAGCCAACATTGTCAAATAATAAATAAACCTTAGTATGACTGTCCATGTTGCCAATATATTTGAACAACAGAGGCTCCGTTTCTCTCACCCAAGTCGAACTAATCTCAACAACTTGTTGATAGCCCATCTAGAAAAGCTGCTTTTGTCCTCAGGTCATTTTATGTGTTCTCCAGATCCCCTCAAATTCGAACTGAACTTGTCAGCTCGACTCCTGCTTATATTGCCTTCACCTTATATAGGTGACTATTAATAGACCCTGTTGTAATATGCTATTTATAGACAATTTGTAATGCTTCGTGACCGATAATTTGTAACATAGACAGAAATCGTGATTACATTAATTGAAAGTTATGCAAGATTCGTGATTCTTGGCATTCCAAAATGACTAAAGTGAATTCCAAGAGTTTAATTGGAATGTTAAGTGGCCGCTGGAGTTAGAGATAACAAATTTGGAATTAACCGCAAGAATCTGAAACTGATCCTAATTAGTAATCATGACTTTAGAATTAGCTAAGAGAGGAGAGGGAGAGGAGAGAAGAGGCTAAACAATAAATAAAAATCCATTTTTGTAACATTCCCCCCCACTTTGAAAAATCGATCCTCCTGGATCGAACATAGCAAAACCATGATTTGAACAATAGTAATAGTAAAACCTCAAGATTGTCACATATTGCCTTATTGTAACACAGTTGTTGATTACAGTACTTATCTCAGTCTTGTCTCAGTTATACAGCTTCATTGTCAGTTGCCTCGTTTTCACCAGCAGAAAAGTCTTACTCCAGTTAACCATATTTAGTATAAGATTCTAATGTTCTCCAGAATTGTCAATTTGCTCAATGCCTGGCTCAGTTGTAAATAAATGTTATTAGACTTCGCTTTATTCAGGATCATATGTGTGATATAGTAAGATTAAAAGTGAATTGAAATATAGATGGCATGCTAACAATAACATTAAAAGTAGATTGAAGATAGATGGCATGCCAGTTTTTACCCAGAAAAGTCAGTTGACAAGAAGTGGCCATATATGAGACATGTAATAATTAGTAGCAGAGAGAGGAAATAAAGAAATCGAAAGACCTAAAGGACAATAGCGACAATAACCGATAGATATAGTAGTAAGTAACATATTCACATGGTGGCAGCGGTGGGATTTGTCCTTAGTTCAACAATGTCCTTGATTTACTTGCTGCCACAGTTCTTGCCATACTGTATTATGACAGGTTTTCCTCTGAACTGATAACCATGTATGAGATCCATAGCTTCTGAGGCGGTCTTTGTATCATGAAAAGTGACAAAAGCCTGTCCTTTCATCCTCCCAGACATTAGCTTGAAGCCAATCTTAGGTTGTCCTTCTTGTTGATATCTGATAAACAGAGAGACAAGGTCCTCATGTGTGACTTTGGCTGACAGGTTCTTCACATACAACACATTACTAGGGTCACCTGGGGAGTAGTCTTTAAATCTATCAATATTTCTTATCTCATCCGCAGAGAGCCTAAACTTGCGTATTATATCCTCTGGTATAGATTCTATATCTGATGGTGATCTTGACCTTTCACCTTGCTTCGACCCTGGCCTCTCAGCACAAGTCGGAGCATTTTTCCAGTCATTCAAATTTGGATGTTCCCAAGTGGTCTGCCACTCACAAGCAGGGTAGCTTGAACTAGGTGCCTCAATTTTAGAAACTTCTTTTTTCGTATATTTCTTTCTCTTTTGATGTTTCGTTTTAACCGAAACATCATCAAGTAATGTATCTAAGTGGTTAATAGGGTCATCTGGATGAGTAGTATCATTTTGGGATTCACCACGAGTTATTAACATATTCAAAGCTTTGGTTTTATCATCGTGTGTGATGGAGTTTTCAAAGTCCATTTCTTGACGAGTCAGCACTTTTATTCCATGGAATCTAGTAGGTTTAGATATTTCCTGCTTTCTTGCTTGTATTTTATCTTCAGTGATTTTAAGCTGGGCCTTTTGTATTGAAGGATCAATTCCCAGTCTCTTCTTTTTGGGATCAACCTGGTTATTAGACTCAGAGTCAGTTTCTGCTTGTAACTTGATGTAGATTTCATCCTCAGTAAGGCCATACTGTCTGAGTTCCTGCTCTATGCCATCAAGCCTCTCTCTGTCCTTATACTCAGCAAGACTGACGGATCCTGTTAGCTCTTTGGTGCCAGGCTTATAAACAGCTGGCTGGCTAAATGTCTTCTTACGTGCTAAATGTTCCTCCAATGTAACATTTGTTTTAAGCTGTTTGCTAACAATAACATTAAAAGTAGATTGAAGATAGATGGCATGCCAGTTTTTACCCAGAAAAGTCAGTTGACAAGAAGTGGCCATATATGAGACATGTAATAATTAGTAGCAGAGAGAGGAAATAAAGAAATCGAAAGACCTAAAGGACAATAGCGACAATAACCGATAGATATAGTAGTAAGTAACATATTCACATGGTGGCGGCGAAGAAAGAACAAGCGCTTCAGGAGAGGTAATATAGTTACATTACTTTGTGCTCAAGGATTCTGACATTTTGATGAAGGCAAGAAGCCCATGCAAAAATATCTGCATCTCAATACAGAAAAGTGAACATTGGCCAGTCAACTCAAGTTATAAGATATAAGAGAAAACCCAAGTGGTAAAGAAAAGCAAATCTAGAGATAAAAGCCAAATTGAATAAGTGAGCTTCATTGGCAAAATATTGAGGTTTCAAGATAACCAAAATAAGAAAAGCAAAAGTCAAATATCAATCATATACAGTGGCAATCATAAAGCTAAAAAGTAAAGCAGTGCCCTATAGTAAGCATGATTTGATATGAAGGAAATACATTGAAGTTGCATCCAGGAGTAAAAATTGGAAAACTTGAAGTTTCAAAAAGGAAATTTTACAAAGTTACAATTTGCAATTTACATGGTATATTTTACATTGGTTTTGTAGACAGTGCAATATATTGATTTTGAACACTGTTTATTAGATTTAAGTGTCCCAGTTAGTTAGTTAGGTGTGAACTGTGAAGTTATAATTAGCCAAGATTAGATGCTTTTTTCAACTTTAGGCGCACTCACTAAGCAGAGCATAATATGTAGCCTGAGTTTATGTTATTGAAGGCCATTATCAGATTTAAAATACTTTTTGCCATTTTAGAAGGTCAAGTTGACCTCTCAGTCTGTTTGCAAACAAGTATGGCTTGCCAATAGGGGCAGTGTAATTGATACAAGGCCTGTCAATAGATGTTTTACTACAGTTCAGTGAAAGATTGACATTCCTTTAAAGAATTATAATTAATTATAGTTAGTGATTAGTGATTTAGCATCATAGTCTACAACTTGTGCTGTTTATTTATACCAATTGCGTTTCAATTTTAAGCTTTAGGACAGATAGTTTTGAAACTTCTCATAATCTTTTAGAATAAAGTTAGATAGAAATGCAAGTTACATTCTCATAATCAAGATATAGAATACTGGATTCAGTTAATTCTCTATTAAGATATTAGATTTATAGGAAGCCATTTCTTTTAACATATAGTTACAAGTTAGCATAAAGTTAGATAGAAATGTAAGTTACATTGAAACGACACTGTGATGATATATCAGGTACTATTCAGATTTTGTATAAATTAAAACAGATCTATATGGTACTTGTGTTATTGTTTGGTGTGGTGTATTAGTTAATATTCAATGTTATGGATACAAGATCAACAAAAGCTGAAGACAGAAAGAAAACAGGTATGGCTGAATCTAAAGATAACACTAAACCTACTCAAGTTGATGATGATCAGTACTATGATGACTTTGACCAAGGTGTTGAAACTAAGCCGACACATAGGGATCCTGAATTTGGTCCACAACAAGGAGGTGATAGTACAATGATGATGCGTTTCATGATGGAGATGTTTGACAAAATGGAACATTCCCGTATGCAGCTAGAAGAAAGAAGAGTTAGGGAACAGCAAGAATACCGTGAGGAAAATAGGCGACTCATTGAAGAAATTCGTCATGAAAAGAAACAAGAAGAAAAGCGCCCCAAGGATCCCTACATAACGAAACTGAAAGATGGTGATGACATTGAGGATTTTTTGACTGTGTTTGAGAGAACTGCAAAGATGTGCAACTGGAAGAAGGAGCATTGGACACTGAAATTAGCACCATCTTTATCAGGAAAAGCACAGGCTGCTTATGTCAGTTTGAATGCTGTTGATGCCATAGATTATGACACAGTCAAAGAAACTATCCTGAAGAGATATGCGATTAATCAAGAATCTTACAGAACTCGTTTTAGGAATCTTCACAGATCTAATGATGAAGGAATTAAGCCCTTCGCAATTAGACTGACTGATGCTTTTGACAAATGGTCAAAGGATGCTGTAACAAGAGATCAACTCAAGGATCTTATCGTCAAGGAGCAGTTAATTAGCACCTTCCCCAGTGATGTGCAAATTTGGGTCAGACAGCATGACTCAAAAACAACTGATGAAGTTGTGCACTTAGCTGACAATTACATTGAAGCAAGAAAATCTCAGAAGGAAGATGTAGAAAAAGCAGAAGCCAAGTCAAAGTTCAAAAAGTTTGGAAACAAAACCAACCCAAAGAAGAACAAAGATGATGAAGAAAAACCATCTGATACAAGTGAATCAAAAGAAGACTACTACAAGAAAGTCAAGGAGACGTCACGGTGCTTCAAATGTGGAGTCCGGGGCCACCATTCGGCTTCGTGCCAGAGTGGGAAGGAGATAATGAAATGTACAAAATGCAACAATTTGGGGCACGTGATCTCAAATTGTAGCACAGATATGTCCTTGAAATGTGAAAATTGTAATATGTTTGGTCATGTCACGAGCCGGTGCCGTAGACAAGGCAAACAATCTTTCCTTTGCAAGGCAAAATCTGACATATTTTCTCAATACAGCAACAGTGATGATGGGACAGTTCAAGGGATGCTGAATGATAAAGAAGTGACCTTATTGATTGATACAGGAAGCTGCAAGACCATCATTCACAAAGATTTGGTACAACCTGAGGACATTTTAACAAATGACAAGGTCATGATGACATGTGTTCATGGGGACCAGGAATCTTACCCGACTACAAAAGTAAAGTTCGCCATTGGTGATGATGTATATCAAGTGAAAGCAGTCGTTTCTGATTCAGTCCCTACACCTGTCTTACTTGGTCAAGACATATTGAAAAGATTAGACAGGGATAAAATGAATAAGTACATATACAAAAAGATCAACCCTGTGCCTGCATATGTTACAACGAGGCAACAATGGAAGCAACAGTTGAGAGATGATGCAGATGAGGAACATGAAGTTGAGAATTCAGGAGTCAAGTTAGTTGGACAGCATGACGAAAATGATGTTCAAGAAGATGATGTTCTCATTAAAGAAGATGAGGATTATCCAAAAGAAGATGATGTTCTCACTGAAGATGATGAGGACAATCCAAAAGAAGATGAAGTTCTCACTGAAGATGATGAGGACAATCCAAAAGAAGATGAAGTTCTCACTGAAGATGATGAGAACAAGTCAAACGAAGATGATGTTCTCACTGAAGATGATGGGAATATCCCTAGAGATGCAATTCTCTCTGAAGTAGATGAGAATGATCCAGAAGATGATGTTCTCATTGAAGATGATGAGGATATTTCTAAGGAAGATGACATCAACACAGTAGGCAAGTGTAAACTCAAAGATGATATTCGTGGGCATAAACCCATAGCTGTAGTACACAATGTGACACAGAATGAATATCAAACCAAAGATGATGTTACATTTCCTTTTTCATTTGATGAGACAGTGTTTCTACCAAAGTCAAGTGACAAGCTGTACAAAACCAAATCACAAAGAAGGGCAACCAAACGGAAACATGCAAATGTTGATCTAAACAAGGAATGTGAACTTGATGCAGTCAGTCCAGAGGACCTAAAAGAATTGCAAAGCAACGACCCAAGTCTAAGAGATGTGCGAATGAAGCTACTTATCTCGACTGAAGAAGTGCGAGAAACTCCATACTTTATTATGAAAGATGGAATTCTGATCAGAGTTACTAAGAATCCCCTTAATGAGTATGTTGAGCAAATTGTGCTTCCTAGAAGTTGTAGGAAAAAGATACTACAATTGGCACATGACATACCTCTATCAGGGCACCTAGGAATAAAGAAGACAACAGACAGGATATTGAGGAGATTTTTCTGGCCTGGTATCTACAAGGACATAAAGCAGTTTTGTAAATCTTGTGATATCTGCCAACATACAGCGAGAATGAGAGTTGTTGACAGAGCGCCTTTGATCCCTCTGCCTGTTGTAAAAGAACCATTTACAAAGATAGGTATGGACATAGTAGGACCTCTTCCTCGCTCTACAAAAGGAAACAGATTTATTCTTTGTATAGGAGACTACGGAACTCGCTATCCAGAGGCAGTCCCACTTAGAAGTACAGATGCAAAGAAAATTGCCAATGAATTGATGATACTGTTTTCAAGAGTCGGCATTGTAAAGGAAATTTTAAGTGATCAAGGAACCAACTTCATGTCTAAGTTGCTGAATGAGGTGTACAGATTACTAGGTGTCAAAGGAATCAAGAGTACCCCATATCATCAACAAACAGATGGCCAAGTTGAAAGGTTCAATGGTACTTTGATTAACATGCTGAAGAAGTTTGTTGTTGCAGAACCAAAACTATGGGATGTTTACCTTCCCTATGTTTTGTTCGCATATCGTGAAGTACCAAATGAATCTACAGGATTTTCTCCCTTTGAATTGCTATATGGACGTGATGTTCGAGGACCATTAGATGTTCTGAAAGAAACATGGACAGCTAAAGAAGACACCCCACAGACTGTTGTTGATTATGTTCTCAAGATGAGAGATAAGCTAAGCAACTTACAGATTCTTGCTGAAGAAAATGCAAAACAAGCAAAAGTTACCCAGAAGAAGTACTACGATGAAAAGAGTAGAAATATTAGCTTCAAACCAGGAGATGATGTCTTACTCCTACTACCATCAAGTGAAAACAAACTTGAAGCACAGTGGCAAGGCCCTTATAAAGTAGTAAGAAGACATGGTAAAGTCAATTATGAGATTGAGCTCTTCAATGGAAAGATGAAGATATACCATGTCAACTTACTGAGAAAATACCTAGACAGAAGAGACTATTGTTTTATGGCGGCAACTGATGAGGAAGACAGTGATGTAGAGGAAATTATGAATCTTCCTACCTACAGTCTACACAGTACAGTTAGCTCTGATGGCAATGTGACTATTGATTGTAATATCAATCCAGAGTTGACTACTAACCAAACAAAACAGATCAAGAAGCTATTAGGCAGTTTTAGTGATGTTCTCTCAAACAAGCCAGGAAGAACAAGCCTGATAAAACATAATGTGGACACAGGAGATAATATACCACGTAAGCAGCCAAGCTATAGAATACCTCAAAGTCAGATGAAAGTCGTCAAAGAGGAATTAGATACAATGTTGAAGGAAGGATACATAGAGCCCTCTAGAAGTGAGTGGATCTCTAACATAGTATTAATTCCAAAGAAAGATAATACTATGCGTTTTTGCATCGATTTTAGATATCTAAATAGCGTCTCCCGATTTGATCTTTACATGATGCCAAGGAT